GAAAATAAAACCCTCTCTCTTTTCCTCTGTACCCAAATCTCTAAAAACGGGGCTACAACGGCGCTTATCCAGATTTGCGTCCGATATGACGTAATATCTGAAATGTGGACCCATGGCCCTATCAGAAAGTTGCTATCAGAAACAATGCCCGACTGTTTTGGACGTAATATGGTCGGTGTTTACGTTAGCATCGCTAACACTCAGAGCTAACCTGTACTGGAGAGCATGTGTGTGAAGAAGCAGGAAGTAAAAAGGAACTCACCTTGTGGTATAACCGGCAAGAGAGAAAGCCTTTGAGCTCCATACTGTTTCAGAAAGAGTCCTTGATAATCCATGATATGGCGTTTCATCACCTCAGTATTTAGTTTAGACAGTAGCTGCCGGGTCCCGCATGAGCTCAGACCCCTCCTTTTTATAATCAATTTTTTAAAGCTTTATACCCCAAATCAGCACTTTAGAAACAGGAAGTGAAATAGAGGGATATGAGGCATGGAGAATGGGTGATCTGTTTGGTATTTTGAGCAAAACACTTCATAGACATGTTTTTTATATATTTGTATATATCTGAGACCCATGCTATTGCCTAAAAATAGCATGATAGGTGACCTTTAAGGATTATGGTCTAATCAAATATGTCCAATTTAAACATTGGGCCGGCATTAATCCCGAAGCTAAGGCAATTTAATAGATTACAGCCAGTATTTACTTTATAATTTAAATGTATCCTTTTTCTTTCTATGATATGTCAAAGTGTCTTTCAAGGAAAAAGGCTTACTGGAGCCCTTAAGGATGTGAAGGGCGTTGGCAGGAAAATACTAAAGGGAAACTCATTGCCCAAAATAACTACTGTCACAGAAGTAGGAAACAATGCAAGACATCAAGTTTGGTTTCACTTTTCATTTTGTAAAAACAGAACTCCCCAACACAACACAAAATACGATGAAATTGAGAATGACTTAAGTGTTTGTGTTCAAAAGGAAGTCGTTCTTCCTTTCTAAAAGGGACACATTGTTCAATTATAATAGGATACATATTTACGTGAACACTTTATATTCAAAAACCACAATACAAAGACAGATCGTTCCTCTTTAAATCTGGGCCCTTGTAAAGTTTAGCAACACAGTTTGGCATTTCCTAATCAAATCAAAGCTCTTACACATGAAACAAATGTTATTAGTATTTTTTTATTTATTTAAGTGAATGCTAAAGGGTTGTCTGGCTGCACAGCGGTGGCTCGGTGGAATTAGATTAGATCCCTCTGAGAGCTTTTAACAGATTACAACGGTTGCTCAATGCCACCAAAGAAAAAAAGATTATACCAATAATTCATTTAACGGTCAGAGCGGTGGTTCACCACACACATAGCTCTGTCCCACATGTACATGAACTAGCTTTATGCTAAGCTAAAGCTCACATACAATGTCTTGCAAAAGTATTCCCCCCCCCCCCTTGGCATTTTTCTTGTTTTATTGCATTAAAACATTTAATTTATTTCGATTTTTGGAGAATTTGTATCATTTGATATACACAACATGCCACAACTTTGAAGATGCAAAACATATTTTTTATTGTGAAACAAACAAGAAATAATAATGAAAAAGAAAAAACACGAGCGTGCATAACTATTCACCCCCCTAAAGTCAATACTTTGTAGAGCCACCTTTTGCAGCAATAACAGCTGCAAGTCTCTTTCCACTGGGATTTGCTTCCATTCTTCTTGGCAAAACTGCTCCAGCTCCTTTGGGCTAGATGGGTTCCGCTCGTGTACAGCCATCTTTAGGTCATCTGGAACGCTCTCCCTGCGGAGATCCACAACATCCCCACACTTGAGGCCTTCAAAAGGGCCCTCAAGTCCCATCTGTCTGCCAAGGACTTCGGCCCCAAATCTATTTGTTGTTTTGTCTGACTGCCTTTTGTTATGTTATGTTTGTTTATACTCCTGTTCTTCCTTGTAAAGTGACCTTGGGTATTATGAAAGGCGCTATAGAAATCCAAGTTATTATTATTATTATTATACCACAGATTTTCCATTGGATTAAGGTCTGGGCTTTGACTAGGCCACTCCAAAACGTTTGAATGTTTCCCCTTAAACCACTCTAGCATTGCTTTAGCAGTATGCTTTGGGTCATTGTCCTGCTGGAAGGTGAACTTCCGCCCAAGCCTCAAATCTCTGGCAGACTGAAACACAGTTTCCTCAAGTATGTCCTATGTACAGATTCTCCTCTCTCTGCTGTGGAGCTTACTGGCTCCTTCTGGGTTATCCTCGGCCTCTTTGTTGCCTCTCTGATCAATGCTCTCCTTGCACGGTGTGAGAGTTTTGGTGGGCGGCCCTCTCTTGGCAGGTTTGTTGTCGTGGCATATTTTTTCCATTTTAAAATAATGGATTTAATGGTGCTTCGTGATGTTCAACGTTTGTGAGATTTTTTTATAACCCAACCCTGTCTCGTACTTTGTCCCTGACCTGTTTGGAGAGCTCTTTAGTCTTCATGGTGTCGTTTTCTTGCTTAAATGCCACTTGCTGTGGTACGGAGATAATGAGGCACTTGATTGCACACAGGTGAACTTTATTTAAATAATTGTGTGACTTTGAAGGTCTTTGTTTGGGCTAAATAGCAAAGGGGGTGAATACATATGCACACGCCACTTTTCAGTTTTTAATTTTTTTTAATGTTTTAAAACTTTTTTGTTCACTTCGTCTGACTCTTGACACAAAATCCCCCCAAAAATATTATTATTTTTGGTTTTAATGCAAGAAAATAGAAAAAATGGCAAGGGGGGTGAATACTTTTGCAAGGCACTGTATATTACACATGGATGTAGCTGAACAGTGAAAGGACAACAGATGGAAGAAAGAGCTGTTGTTTGAGTGTGTCGTCGTCCAAGAAGTCAAATTCCCCAGAGCTCTGTTTACGAGTCACTTGATGGGAACGTTTTTATTTCTTTTGTATGGAAATTACAACAAGCCTCTTTTTGGGAATCCCCATGCAGCATGAAGTAGAACAGAGTGGATGGAAAGTCTTAGTCATTTCAGTTGAAATGAAAGTTTCTGTTGAAAACATCTGCAGTCTGCGGGCTCTTTGTTAGAAATGTGAACAAATTGTCTAATTTCCTTTTGGTGGTTTAATGCAGAACTGAGAGTGATCTAAAATCTCATGCAGGTGAAAAAAACAGGAAATAAACCTTCAATCAATTTTCTGAATAATCTGGATTTTTTTTGGGTGAGACTTTTACGTTTAACACTTTTACTACATTACACTTTTTTTATTTAGGTATTTTTTGAATCATTTTGAGTTTCTTTTCAATTATTTTAGGCCTACAAGATTTGGAATTATTTTGACTGATATTGCAATGCTATATCATTCACAATATTGGATGGATTGATCATTTATTGAACAGAATCTTCCTTAATGCTAAACAATTACATTTCGAATGATAAACATGATCATGATGTGATTTATTTAAAGACAATCTGTACCAAACAAAAACGTTGTATTAGTTGTAGGCGGGGATATCTCTGTAGCTCAACAATACCTTAATATATATATATATATATACACGTATTTTTGAGCTTGCTGCCATTTTGATATTGCAACAGTCCAAAAAAAGTGTTTTGATTGTGAAGACAGGATTTATGTGTATCTCATTTGGTCCGAGTGCAATACTGCCATGTCCCCACAAGATGGGAGGAAACACTCCACTATACTGTAATTCATATATTTCACTGTTTACTTCCCCTTTCATTTAACAGCTAAATTGAACGATTCTTGCATAAAAACACAATTTTATAAAACATGATATTTTGTTACGATTAAAACTAGCCAATATAATATATGATAATATAATACAAGAACATTTGAGTGGATTCATCAACCATCCAATTGAGAGATTATTAAATGGCGCCTATGAATAATTTTCTAATTTGTTTTGAAACATATTGGGTTGTTTTTTTAAGTTAGATTTATTTGCATTGGTTTCTTTTACATTTCATACTTTTATCACAGTTTGCTAATTATACCTACTTACTTGAATTAAGTTATTTTTATTTTGAATATATCTTTTTTTTATTTGAGACTGTTTTGCATTTATAACTTTAGGTACATTTAGCTGATTATACTAACTTATTTTTACCTCAGTAACATTTCCAATTCGGGACTTTTAACGTAACAGAGTATTTTGTCATTGTTGTATAAGCACTTTTACTTAAAGGTAGGTAAGAATGGAGAAACCAGCTCGAGTGCGCTAGAATTTTAAAATACACAATCGGAAACATTCTTCAGACTTCCTTACAGAGCCCCTCCTCCAACACACAAAGGCTGACAGGCAGGTAGGCCATCCAGTTACTTTAGCCGGGCCGGCTCAGATGATTGGTCGTGCTTTTTACAGAGCCACGGCTTCCACAGATGACATTTTTTAATGTATTTATTGTCAAAGCATTTAATGTTTTCATTGCTATCGGGATGTTAAGAGCATTCCATGGAATATAACAAAAAGTGTTTCTGAAGTGAATTACCTACCCCACCTTTAAGTAAAGGACTGAATACCGCCAGTCTTCATAGCCTTCTATACAGTTTAGAAACCAGCAGATGTCACTGTGTTTGTTCCATTTGAAACCCCAAAGCTTGAAATATTTCCTGCATGAATACAACACTTCATACGGTTTCGACACCAACTGAAAGGCAATTATTCTACAACACAAAACATGTATTCTTGAGTTTATTATTGACTGCACAGGCTGTTGTATTTGCTGCCCTAATCACCCACACCTGAATGTAATCATGCTGTTTTTCACTGAAGCTCCAGAAAACACCACTGGGGACAACAGAGCAGCAGGAAACCTCCTTATTGTCTGCAAACACACGTTTTTGATAACATCTAAGCAACTTCTCTCCTCTACAAACACCCCCCACCCTCACATTCACACGTCCACGCCTCGTCTCTTGCACTCGCAGCCTTCCTGCTCGTTTTGAGAAAGAAACTGAGAAAACCTGACACCCAGAAAGGTATTTTGGAAGTGGGAGGAGATAAAAAGGGAGATGCACAGGTGGGGCACAGATTGGAAAGAGGCTGTTGTTTCAGGATAAATACAGAGGGAAGTAGAGCTGCTGCTGCTGCTGGCTGCCATTCAGGGACAGGTTGGACTGGTTTCTCCCTCCACAATACTCCAGTTTCCCTCATTCACACAGCGAGGAACAAGTGACCCAGTTTAGGAGGCGGTGGAAAGAGTGAAAAAAAAGGCTTCTTCAGTACATTTCAAGCCAGAGAGGATTTTAAACATGCCGGAGGAAGGAGAGTTTTATGGAAAACATGGTAACTTGTCTCTTTCTTACTTAGTATTTATCATTCTGTCTTCACTCTGTATCAAGTGAAGTGATTGAAGGATTATCTGTTAAGGTTTTCTCTTAAAACAAATCACTTTAAGTTGTGTTGAGTGAAACTGCAGCGGTAGTATCAGCATGTAAACATTGCGGCGGGGAAGAACAGGGTGTGTGAGTGTGTGTGGGTGTTACTGTGGAACCTTCTGCTGATTATACAGGTGTGTGAAGGCAGGGAGCTTTTTATATTATCAGTTGTGCAAATATAACCATGTAAAGTGTGGATTTGAAATTTGACACGCTTCTTTCATTCAATAATGTCCTATACAGCTACATTATGAAGTTGGCAAGGCCTCCCTTTTCTAAATCCAACTTCTTTACATGGATTAATGGAAATACCTCAAGTCAAAACGGTTTAACTCGTGTCTGAATATCTTAAAAATGTCATTGTGGCAATACTGCTCTCACACCATGCCCATGAAGGCAGCTCCGACGCTCGCTCTGACAGGAAGTTGTGACTTCTCTAAGAGCTCATGTGGTAACTGCTTTCTGCAGCATTATCCGCCCGACCACATTCATTATTTAGATGCAAAGAGGCCAAAGAAGAAAAATCATACCCAATGTCTAAACTCAAGATCTAATGTGTTTAAATATACATCCGTTGGTAGTAAGATGGGGAGATTGAAAGCCCTAACTAACAATGTGCAAACAATGGATTATAACCATTATTTTTGTGTTTGATCTTTTTTTATTCATTGCATTTTGTTAACTGTTAAGTAATGTTGCTTTTACTGAAGTGGAGCTAATGTTCCCTGAGGGATTTGCTTAAGAGCTGCACGATGAATTTGCTTAGATAATAGATGCGCCTGACACGCTGACCTCAGATGACACACTGCGAACTTAACTAAAGGCCTGAGCCTGCAATACAGTGGTGGGAGAGATGACGTATTTTTAAAAAAAAGCTAACCTGGAAGTTAGCACCACAATTGCTACCGCCGCAAAAAGCAAATGCGATTTTTCCATTTTCCAGGGTTGCCAACTCTCACGCATCTGGCGTGTGACGCTTTCACTCTCAATCTCACGCTGCCCAAACTATTCTCACACCAAAAATAAGATGAACCGGCGATCGTTTTTGGTTGGTTATTTACAATGTTGAGTTGACAGCTGCTCAAGCTGTGGATCCGCCCCCACCACTCTGGCCCCTACACACGGCGGCGTGCGTTGCCGCTTCTGCCCATTCACTTTGAATGGGGTGACGTCACGATTCGCCGAACTGCATTGTGGGAGCAAAGCGTAGCTTCTCTCGCGGTGCTCGCTGCAAAAGTAGAGCAATGTTCTACTTTGCCGCCTCGACGGAGGCGTCAGCCAATCAAATCCCGCGTATGCAAATCTGACAGTACAAGCGCTAGCCAATCAAACTGCGTGTATGTTGGGAGAGCCAGACCGCAGTTATTTCCCATATGTAAAAAAATGGAGGAGGAAATTATCGTGGCGTTAGGGAATCACCCGGTACTATATGACCAGTCCCTCTTTACATACAGGGATACAAACCGGAGGAGCCAGGCATGGGGGGAGGTGGCAGAGACAGTGGGTGAAACTGGTAGGTTTTCGCCTGTTTGGGGATTTTATAGCCAGTGTACTTCGTTTGAATGGACAGCTAGCAAGCATAGACAGTATATTTAGCCAGCATGGATGTAGTATGAATGCTTTGCTTTGTATGTCCGGGGCGGGACATTCATGTGATTGGTTGTTGGTCGCGTTGTTCGTAAAAAATCCCCAAGCTTCAGACACGCCAAACGGTAACGCACGCCGCCGTTACGGCCCCTACACACGGCGGCGTGCGTTACCGCTTGGCGGTGGGCGTGTCTGGAGCTTGGGGATTTTTTACGAACAACGCGACCAACAACCAATCACATGAATGTCCCGCCCCGGACATACAAAGCAAAGCATTCATGCTACATCCATGCTGGCTAAATATACTGTCTATGCTTGCTAGCTGTCCATTCAAACGAAGTACACTGGATATAAACTCCCCAAACAGGCGAAAACCTACCAGTTTCACCCACTGTCTCTGCCACCTCCCCCCATGCCTGGCTCCTCCGGTTTGTATCCCTGTATGTAAAGAGGGACTGGTGGTCATATAGTACCGCCACGATAATTTCTCCTCCATTTTTTGACATATGGGAAATAACTGCAGTCTGGCTCTCCCAACATACACGCGGTTTGATTGGCTAGCGCTTGTAATGTCAGATTTGCATACGCGGGATTTGATTGGCTGACGCCTCCGTCGAGGCGGCAAAAGTAGAACATTGCTCTACTTTTGCAGCGAGCACCGCGAGAGAAGCTACGCTTTGCTCCCACAATGCAGTTCGGCGAATCGTGACGTCACCCCATTCAAAGTGAATGGGCAGAAGCGTTGAAGCGGCAACGCACGCCGCCGTGTGTGTAGGGGCCGTTACCGGAGCGTCCACACTACAGCTTCAAAAAAAGCTTGGAGCTGGCCGTGTCTGAAGCTTGGGGATTTTATTCAAGCAACGCGACCAACAACCAATCACATGAATCTCCCGCCCCCGACATACAAAGCAAAAAACCCCGGGGATTTTATGGGAGCAATATATATATATATATATATATATATATATATATATAAACTCCCCAAACAGGCGAAAACCTACCAGTTTCACCCACTGTCTCTGCCACCTCCCTCCATGCCTGGTTCCTCCGGTTTGTATCCCGGTAGGTGAAGAGGGTCTGGTCATACAAAACCGGGTGATTTGCTACGGCGATAATTAGTTTCTCCTCCATCTTTTTTTTAAATATAGAAATGAACGGCGGGATATCTCTCCCAGCTTAGACGCGGTTTGATTGGCTACAGCTTGAGCTGTCAGATTTTCCGAAACGGGATTTGATTGGCTGAATATTCTGATTCAATCCATATATGTTAGGTTTTTTTTTAAACAACATTTTCACCACAATAAATAGACTGCCTTCTCTCCAGCTCACCGCACTCAAAGGGGGGGGGGGGCATCTGTATTAACGGGTCAGTCTATAAGCACTCTAACAGCACCATAAATTACATTTAAACAACCACAAAAAAACAATTATTGTTTCCGATATTGATTTAACGAGATGCTGTTATAACATGGAAACGGCTTAATTAAAAAAAATAAGCTTCAAAAATGTTTTATGAAGCACACTGGGTACAGCCCTGTAATACATGTGTTCCGTGTGTATATAGTCTTACGCAAGAAACACATGGCATGAACAGACTGCAACAAAACCAGTCAGTCAATCAGAGGGAGGTGAGTAGACGGATATGACGGATGACGGATGCGACGGAAATACACCCGAACATATCTGGTAGCCCGAACATATCTGGTACTGACACCGGTTGGTCAATCCCCGACCTGTATTGCGCATGCGCAGATCTAAGATCCAGTAGAAATGATAACAAGTAAAAGTCTGTTGCTTATTGTTCTACTAGGCCAAACATAGAGTCAAAGAGTATATGAGAGTGAGAGTGCGTTAATTAATATATTTGACAGTTTGGAGTAAGTCTGTAGATTTGTGTGTGTGTTTCATGTATAGGCCTCTCACGATAATTAATTTTGTTGGATACATTTTCCAGGAAATTATTGCGATAAACGATAATATTGTCGGCACCGTTGTATGACCATTTTATACCACTGACCTAATGATAATATATAATAATAATTCAAGTACATCCTTTCAAACGATCGAGTTCATTTTTATTTATCCTACGATAAGTCAATTAATTGTTTATCGCGAGAGGCCTATGCACACAATAAAACAGTGGAAACAAACATGTGTTTGACTTTTTTTGACTTGTCTGTGTCCAATATTGTGTATTCGTATATATATGCTAAGGTCCCGCTACTGACACGATAGCAGTCATTTAGTGCGCATACAGTATGTGTAATTAAACCCATGATATCAAAATCTCACTCCAGCCAGGTACCCAAAGTTGGCAACCCTGTTTTAACTATTGCAGAAATTAGCAGGATAACCTTATTAATGCCAAAGGTCATCTCTAGGAGAAAAAAGCAACATTAGGCTTTAAAGGAACTATAGCACGGTCACATGACTTCACGTCACCACCGCTAAGCTAAAGGTGGCTAATGTTGGGCTATAAAGGAACTACAGCATTGTCACATGACTTCACGTCACCACCGCCAAGCTAAAGGCGGCTAATGTTGGGCTATAAAGGAACTACAGCACGGTCACATGACTTCACGACACCACCGCTAAGCTAAAGGTGGCTAATGTTGGGCTATAAAGGAACTACAGCACGGTCACATGACTTCACGTCACCACCGCTAAGCTAAAGGCGGCTAATGTTGGGCTATAAAGGAACTACAGCACGGTCACATGACTTCACCACCGCTAAGCTAAAGGTGGCTAATGTTGTGCGTGATGACGTTTAGTCGTCTCATTTAGACATTTGTTAGCAACCACTGTTTTTAAATTCACCAGTGGGGTATTTACTGACGTATTTTATTAGATCAAAAATCTCTTCAGCTTGTGTTAACCACAGACCCTATTTTAGGCATTTAAACAACATGTTCAAAAACCCTTAAAATCAAGACAAGGGAAACAAAAGTGCTGACTCATTACATTGGAGCCTTGGTGTTGGGATCAGAGGGTCACAGGTTCAAACCCCACTGCTGTCAGCATGTCGTTGTGTCCCTGAGACACTTCACCCCAAATTGCTCCTGTGGGGATTTCCCACAGTATTGAGTATGTAAGTCGCTTTGGATAAAAGCGTCTAACAAGTTAAAATGTAAATTACCAGGTTTTAGGACTCATTCCTGCACCACTCTTTAATCCAAGAAAACCCCCCACAAAATGCCTCTTACTTTCATGCAGAAACTCAAATAAAATCCAGGCATGGCTGTCCTGATAGTGAAATATTATATTGTTTCAATTTCATGCATCTGGGACTATTACATTAATATATTCTGCTCTGCATCGGGCTGTCCATTTGCAGGCAGTCTTATTATCCCAACCCAAATTAAGAGTGTAAATATCCACCAAGACTTTCTCCATATTCCACATCTCCCATTTAATCTAATAATAACCTGCTTAACAGAGGTAGTCTATCACAATGCCTTTCTTTTTCTGAAAAACAAGTGATACCATCTTATTCTGATTTATTGAATTAATGCTTTACCCTTCAGAAAAAGGTGTGGATTGTTTTAAATGTCTTGTTGTTGGCATTATAAGTCTTGTATATGAACATGACATTATTGCCTTGTCATGGTATTGATCTAGATTAGTGATTCAGGCCCCCTCTGGTGGACGCACCAGTTGTGTTGTCCTCTTCCTCCTCATGGGTTTTCTGCTGCTTAGTCACCAGGGAGGAATTTGTTGTGTTGCCAGGCGTGTCTGCTTGCAGGCAAAAGCCATCTGACAGAAGAGAGGGAGGAAAAGGGGGGGCTTACTGTTTCTCAAACTTTTTAATAACATCCCTGTTTAACATATTATATTGCACTTAGGGTTGTAGATATCTCACTAAGCCATGCCCTCACTAGAGCGGTGCAGGAATGAGTCCTAAAACCTGGAAATGAGTTACCAATTTACCATTTCTGGTCAATGTCTTCTTTTGGGTTAGAAGCCTGAATTTAAGGTCTGTGGTTAACACAAGTTAACGACATAAACTACGTCAGTAAATACCCCACTGGTGAATTTAAAAACAGCAGTTGCTAACAAGTGTCTAAATGAGACGACTAAACATCATCACGCCCAACATTAGCCACCTTTAGCTTAGTGGTGGTGACATGAAGTCATGTGACCGTGACGATAGCTTTTTACCTCAAAAATCATAAAGTGGTGGAGATTATCCTACTAAACAAAATGTGTAGGATCATAAACGCGAGTGTCACACAGATCTTATGTGCTGCTTAAATCCTATGGAAAAATCCCATTGTCTTTTTGTGAAGAGAACCCTTGCGACACTAACTTCTTGGTCGACCAACATAAAGTCTCTAACATCTGCTTCTTTTTCTTCTTCTGTTTAGGCGAGCCAAGGAAGTATGACTCCTCGTTCAAAGGCCCCATCCAGAACAGGTAAATTAGAGATATGTGACTTCTGGTTTTCACTGTGTGTAAAGAGTTTATTTTAACCCTTTAAACTCTGCTCTCTCCTCCCAGGAGCTGCACAGACATCGTGTGCTGCATTCTCTTCATTATCGCCCTACTGGGTTACTTTGCAGTGGGAATTCTGGGTAAGGTAACAACCCTGCAAGTTGAGAAAAACCCATCAAAAACCTTTGTTTAAATGCAATCTAACCTTCTTTGTTTGTGCCTCCAGCCTGGTCCCAGGGTGACCCCAGGAAGGTGATTTACCCCACTGACAGTCGAGGGCAGTTCTGCGGGCAGGCGGGCACCCCACTGGAGTGAGTCGCTTTCCAAATATAGATTATAATTACCATCTGAGACAGTGTGTGTGTGGTTGGTGTTGTTTTCACCTTGTGTCATCACGGCAATATGTGCTCCTGGAGACAGACATGGTTTTGGGTTCTTTGCCAAGTGTTTGTATTTGTTGGATGGATTTAGTTACCGCTATAGTGTCACAACAGAAAGTAGTCAAACACTAGATGACAGTTCAGCTCAAATATGGGTGTGTTCAGAGCGAGAGCGCGGGAAAGTACTGCCCTCTTTGAAAAGGTATTCAAAGAGGGATTATCTGATGGTGTAACAAATAATCTGGTGTGTCGGGTTACATAGCCCCCCCTTCCTCTTTATGCCCCTGTATGTAATTTAGTATGGATGTTGGTGTGATACTATCAGAATCAGAAATCCTTTACTCGTTCCACAGTGGGCAAATTAACGGCGTTACAGCAACAAAGGCATAGTCTGTAGGCACTTGGCCTGGGAACTGTAGGGTTGCCGGTTCAAGTCCCCGAACAGACCTTAATATGGAATGTGGACTGGTACTTTGAGAGGTCCCAGTTACTGCCGTGGTGCATTAGAGCAAGGCACCGGACCCCCTGGAGGGTTTCAAAGCCACAGTGCATGTTTAGGAAGAGAGTAGACTTGCTTATTATAGAAAGGCAAGCACACATTGATTAATAAACAATTAAGTGAATACAAATCGCAAATGCTTAAACCATGTTAAAAGTATTTTTAGTAAGCTGTAATGTATACAAATTGCAAGGAAACATTTAAATTGAACACAAGTGTATATCGCACCTCGCAAGAAGGTCTCCAGATATAACTGTCAATGCTTCTTACTATAAAGACACAAACAAGTGTACTCTCCGGAGCACAACATGAGAAAATAATGATGACTTCCCGGTTTACGGTACTTTTGATGAAGGTCAAAAACATGAATCACACACGATGTACAGGAATGTGTTAGTCAGCCTCTTAAGCCCTTTTTTCCTCTGATCATTTATAAACGTATCTGCGTTTTTTAACAGGAAAAAGGGCATGCTGTTCTACTTCAACATCATGAAGTGTGCGAGCCCCATGGTGCTGCTGGAGTTCCAGTGCCCCACCACCCAGGTGAGAACCCCCTCCCCCCTCCTGTCTTATAAAAACCTATTTATGTAGAGAACAGCTGTTAAGAATCACAATGCTTTATTTATTGAACAGTTTATTGGGTTGAGTGACATTTATAGTGTATTAAAAAAAAAGGTACAAATTGAGAATTTCTTTGTTATTCCTACATATGATGTTAAAGGTCACCTATTATGCAAAATCCACTTCTTCATGTCTCTTCTACATCAACATGTGTCCCCTCTTCTTCATGTCTCCTCTACATCAACATGTGTCCCCTCTTCTCCATGTCTCTTCTACATCAACATGTGTCCCCTCTTCTCCGTGTCTCTTCTACATCAACATGTGTCCCCTCTTCTTCTTGTCTCTTCTACATCAACATGTGTCCCCTCTTCTTCATGTCTCTTCTACATCAACATGTGTCCCCTCTTCTTCATGTCTCTTCTACATCAACATGTGTCCCCTCTTCTCCGTGTCTCTTCTACATCAACATGTGTCCCCTCTTCTTCTTGTCTCTTCTACATCAACATGTGTCCCCTCTTCTTCATGTCTCTTCTACATCAACATGTGTCCCCTCTTCTTCATGTCTCTTCTACATCAACATGTGTCCCCTCTTCTTCATGTCTCTTCTCCATCAACATGTGTCCCCTCTTCTTCATGTCTCTTCTCCATCAACATGTGTCCCCTCTTCTTCATGTCTCTTCTACATCAACATGTGTCCCCTCTTCTTCATGTCTCTTCTCCATCAACATGTGTCCCCTCTTCTTCATGTCTCTTCTCCATCAACATGTGTCCCCTCTTCTTCATGTCTCTTCTCCATCAACATGTGTCCCCTCTTCTTCATGTCTCTTCTACATCAACATGTGTCCCCTCTTCTTCATGTCTCTTCTCCATCAACATGTGTCCCCTCTTCTTCATGTCTCTTCTCCATCAACATGTGTCCCCTCTTCTTCATGTCTCTTCTACATCAACATGTGTCCCCTCTTCTTCATGTCTCTTCTACATCAACATGTGTCCCCTCTTCTTCATGTCTCTTCTACATCAACATGTGTCCCCTCTTCTTTATGTCTCTCCTACATCAACATGTGTCCCCTCTGTGTAAAGAGACTCTGAAAATTTCAGGAACAAAGATTCTCTCTCTTTTTGTCCTGATCCATTTCTATAAAAACCTAACTGAAAACGAGCTGATCAGATTTTGGCCACTTTATGATATCATAACGATGTTTTGGCTTGTGTAACCATTAGCCAATCAGCAACCAAGGTAACCCCCCCCCCCACCTCCGTACCCAAATCTTTAAAAAAACTGGGGTACAACGAGCGGATACAGATTTGCTGCCGATATTACGTAATTTCGGATGGTGGACCCACAGAGAGTTGCTGTCAGAAACAATGCCTGATGTGTTGTGGACGTAATCTCGTCTTTGTTTGTCTCGCTAACACTCAGAGCTAACCTGTACTGGAGAGCACATGTGTTTTTAAAAAGCAGGAAATATAAAAAGGAACTCACCTTGTGATAAACCCGCAAGAGAAAAAGCATTTGAGCTCCATACTGTTTCAGAAATAATCTTTGATGTGGTTTAGAACAGGATGGCGTTTTATCACAGCAGAATTTAACTTTATCTCCGGTAGAATTCTGATCAGGCATTAGCTCCGCCTCCTCTCTTTTTTTTTTTTTTTCAAGCTAAGGACCCAAAATCTGCGTTTCTCTAACAGGGCTGGAACAGAGGGATATGAGGGATTTCTGAAATACATGATCTGTTTGTATTTTGAGCAAAACACATTTTGTTTTTATATATTTGTATATATCTGAGACCCATAATATATGCACTTTAAAGTAAATATGTGCATTTAAAAGGATTAATAAAATATAATGGAAATATTAATTACAATTTTAAATACATAATTGTAATAGTTTATATTGGACTTAAATCTCCTGCTGTGCTGCTTTTTTTATTTTGTATCCTTAACCTGTGACCTCCTGCTGTGAATGTGTGTCCTCCTCAGATGTGTGTGGAGACATGTCCTGATAAGTTCCTGACGTTAGTGAAAGCCTACACCAACACGAAGGACTTCGACTACTACAAGACGTTCTGCAAGGAGGGCGTGACCAACAATATGGTGGGTATAAACTCACACTCACACTCACACTCACACACACACATTCACCCGTTCTTATCTGCTTTAAATGATTCAGGGAATCCCAGAAATCCTGAAGCAAGGCCTCTGTCCGTCCATGCTGACCCCCAGCAAGCCCTGTGAGTGGAAATATTATATTTTATATTATTTGTATTAATCAGAATACTTTATTTATTATTTTTATTTAGAAAATGTGGTTTTATGACAGTTTGAAATAAAGAAAAAATGGAATACATGAAGTTAGAGTAAGAATGGGTAAACAAGCTATTTCCAAATAAAATATAAGGATATTTATACAAACAACAAAATGAATGTTATTAAAATGTCTGATTAAAAACATTGAATTACAATATTCAAATAAACATAGAAAGTTGGAGTTAAAATGTCAAACAAAAGATACAACAAACATCAAATCTAAATATTTATAATAAACACAGGTAATTAAAGTAAGAATGTGCAAAAATTCCACAGTATTTTCTCCAGTATGTTGCATGTAGTATATTTCCAGAGTGTCAGTCGAGATCTGAAATGTACTTTTACTGCCTATTCTTACATCTTCCTTTGCTTCCCTTCAGTCACTCGGAGGTGTTTCCCCGCTCTGGGCCTGAAAGGAGGTTTGATCACCGTGGGAAACAACTCTCACTTTGACGACGGCAGCGGGACCATGAGAGACGCCAAGGACCTGGTGGATGGAGTCAAGTGAGTTATCAATATCCTTCATTATCAGTCTCAAACAGCTGCAACGTCCCAACCTGCAACCCTGCAGGGGAACTTCATAGTGCTCAAACATACTTTAGAAACAGGCACTGTCAGTCAAGAGCCTGTTTTAAATGAAAATACAAATATTTATTGAAATTTTAAAATGTGTAAAAAAAGATGAAGTCAAATAAACATTGTTATGGGCTCAGAACAGTCTCGTAATTCACACATGCTCACAGAAGGAGTCACACTTGTATTTCCAGATCCACAAATGTGTTCCGTTTCATATACATGTAAATAAAATCCAAATACAGAAAAAAGTTTTACATATGTATTTTTTATCCACACAACCCGCTTTCTGTGCACGGATCGCTGTGCATTCGTGTGTGGGTTTTTTTAGACTCCCCAGACGGTCACCCGATTCGTACTTGTAATTTTTTCTATCTATAGCCAATCAGATGTCTCCTCCATTCTAAGCCAATCACATGAGCGCGTCCCCACCGGGGTATGATTTATTGCGTTCATGACGTAGCGCTTCATGTACGCATTTTGCGCTGTCCGGAGCTGACGGGGCCATGGAGCCTGCCTGCATTGATAAACACAAGTGTGAATCCTTCTGTGTGTATTATGAGACTGTTCTGAGCCCATACATCAGGGGTGAAAATATACATGTGCAAATACAACATATAAACATATTTAAAGTAAACATGTGCAATAAAGAGAAACATTTAAAAGAATACAAATATTTATACAAATATATTAAAGTAAACATTTGAAAAATAAAAAAATGATATTTCTATAAACGGATACAAGCGGCCGAGATGGGTTTTCTCCACAGGGTGGCTGGCGTCTCCCTTAAGGATAAGGTGAGAAGTTCAGTCATCCGGGATGGACTCGGACTTGAACCGCTCCTCCTCAGTTGAGGTGGTTCGGGCACCTAGTTAGGATGCCACCTGGGCGCCTCCCTATATCTCTTCGCTGGCCTGGGAGCGCCTTGGGATCCCCCAGTCAGAGCTGGTTGATGAGGGGAAAAGAAAGTTTGGGGCTCTCGCTGGAACTGCTACCCCCGCGACCCGACCACGGATAAGCGGGAGAAGATGGAAGGATAGATTTCTATAAACATAAGAAGTCAAAATAAAAATATGCATTACATGTTAGACGCTTTTATCCAAAGCGACTTACATACTTAATACTGTGGGCAATCCCCTCAGGAGCACTTTGGGGTGAAGTGTCTCAGGGACACAACGACATGCTGACTGCAGTGGGGTTTGAACCTGTGCTCCCCTGATCCCAATGCAGTATTCCACTTTGCCACAGCCTGCCTCAAATATATATTTTCTTTTTAAAACACAAAGTAAAATGTGCCAAAAAAATAAGGTAATCTTTATTGTGTGTTGTATTATTGTCCACATCTCATAGAAAAATAGCTTTGGCTTAATTGGAGTTAAATCATTTGTTCTTGGTATTAATGAAAACAAAACTACCATCATTTGTATGTATTTATCATTAAACACTGAAAGTAAACTGGCCTGAATCTCTCCTCAGGAACGCCACGGTGGTGATGGAGGCTCGTCAGGTGGTGATGAAGATCTTTGAGGATTACACAAAGTCCTGGTACTGGATCGTCATGTAAGTCCCTCAGGAACATTAACACATCTGCTTCTCTCTGAAACCTCCGCTCACTGCCTCTCTGTTCCTTCCTCTCTGCAGAGGTTTGGTTATTGCGATGCTCACCAGTCTGCTCTTCATCGTCCTGCTGCGCTTCCTGGCCGGGATCATGGTCTGGGTCATGATCGTCATGGTGATACTGGTCCTAGGATACGGTAAGAGTTCAAACATAAAAGCATTATGCTCTTTAAATAAGGAAATTGGTACAATGCATGTCGTACACTGTCAATATATGAATTTTGACAGTGAAGGGTTGACTCAAATCACACACAGGTGGTCATCAGCGCTGTCGTTAGCTAGCAACGCTATCGTTCATGGTAACAAATCATTACAGACTGCTCATTTAACCCAATCAAATAAACGGTTTCTTTTTGACACCAGTATAGTGGTACATTTATTGTAATATAGTGATGTCACTATGTTCCTGAAGTAAACAAAGGAGTCCAATGGTGGCGTTTCAGGTGGGAGTGGAATGAGGGGAAACTCCATCTTGAGCACATGTGTCAAACTCAAGGCCCGGGGGCCAAATCAGGCTGAGTGGATTTAATTTCGGCCCGCAGGATAATTTGTAATTACTATTAGATCTGGCCCGCCGGTATATTGCACGCACACCTTCACTCCATCCTGAGGGTCTCCTCCGCTCAGAGCCTGAGCCCAAACATTGATGAGCTTGCACCTAAGATGAGATGCCAAGTATCTGCTTGAACTAGCATCACAGAGCAGCACACTGAGTTTAATGGATGTTTCCTTCTGCACTTTTTCTCTCACGACAACAGGGCATGTTTGGTTTGCTCTTTGAGGGAAATAGTTTTGTTGAAGCTGTTGTTGGCCTGTGGGAAAATGTAATCATAAGAAATGACTCTGGAAAAGCTGCAGATAGAGCCATAAGAAATGAATGCTGATTAGTTAATGTTTAATGTTGTTTTTATAGGCAATCATTTAAGCTTTGTTAGTTCCAGGTTTAATATGTGCAATAAGTTCATTTCAATACGTTTTGCAATAAACGTTGAACCAGTCCGGCCCTCGACTAGTACCATTTTAAAATGTTGGCCCACTGTGTATTTGAGTTTGACACCCCTGATCTTGAGGGAACACAGAGATTTTAGCCTTTGCAGACCATTGACATGCACTAAAACCCATATAACACACCACAGGAATGACAGAACCCCCCAAAAGCAGAATAGGGCCCCTTTTTAAAACGAATGCACTTAAATGGCTTAATGAACACTGATGTACCGGTTTCTTAAAAATGCTTATTTTTTATTATCCTTATATATTTCTTTTTTACCCCTACTTTGCAACTTATTATTTTAGATTGTTTATGTTCGCACCACCAGAAACCAAAGAAAATTCCTTGTATGTGTAAACGTACCTGGCAATAAACTTGATTCTGTACCTGCAGGTTTCTTACTGTTCTGAGTCTGTAGCTTCATGGTTGATTGCACTCATCTTAAGTCACTTTAAATGTACGCTTTATCTAAATGTAATGTACTGTTCAGGTATCTTCCACTGCTACATGGAGTACGCCGCTCTGAAGGGAGAGGCCGGCGCTAACGTCACTCTGCAGGAAATCGGCTTCCAGACGGACTTCACCGTCTACCTGCAGATCAGACAGACCTGGCTGGCCTTCAGTACGAACACAGACCAGCATACACACCTTTATACACTCTGATATGTTACTGTGAAGTGAGGACATCTGTGTAATCTATCCCTCTTCTACTCGTCCTCTCCTTTAGTGATCATTCTGGCCATTGTGGAGGTCATCATCATCCTCCTGCTCATCTTCCTCAGGAAGAGGATCCTCATCGCCATCGCTCTCATCAAAGAAGCCAGCAGGTCAGATTTCACATAAAGTATAATTCACATGAATCTATTGGCGCTTTTAGACGAGAGAATGGAACAAATTGTTAAAATATATCAATGACCTTAAGATGTTTTCTAACTTAAAACTCATTTAACTGTACAAGGTAATGCATTGAAGAATCGGACTAATGCTAAATACACAGTTAAACTAATTGTAATTCGACTCAAAGTGATGATTTTTGTCTTGGTTGTTGTTGTTGTTGTGTTTACAGAACCATCGGGCATGTGATGTGTTCCCTCTTCTACCCTCTCTTCACCTTCCTCCTCCTGGCCATCGTCATCGCCTACTGGGCCGTCACTGCTGTGTATCCTTTCTAAATGTCCCATTACTGGAACAGCTGATTTAAGCATGTGCGACTATACTAAACAGAAATGAACTTAAAAAGCACATGTTGATAAGTATTTAAGCTCAGGAGTTGGTTAGCGTTAAATGTTGTCACCAAAACTTAATCTAACGTCGTAGGATTTTGTGTAGTTGACTAGGATGCTGAACATCTTCTGACGTTGTCCTTAATAACACTGATCAGCTTCTTGTCTACCTCTAATCAACCGATCTACAAAGTCTTCAATGAGACGATGTGCGACCACTCGAGAAAAACTTGTGAACCTGCGGTGAGTTCTCCTTTTTATTATCAATGGATGTTAGGACCTCCATTTTAATCCTGGCCAAAATGTTATCAATTCACAGAATAAACGGGATAATCGTCGACACATTCTTCAAACCCAGAAATGACACTGCAGCATCCTGGAATCACTCAACCTAAAAACGTTTTAAAAGTTAATTAAGATGACAAACAGGCTTAAAAGGGACATTTTAAGTGATACTGCAGCTTTAAGACCACATGGAAGTTGGTTATTGTTACGTTTTCCTGGAACCCTATTCTATAGCTTCGGATTGGTTATCCCATTTAACAAATTTCCGTTATGTCTTGTGATTTTTACTTATATTGTTAACATGCTTGTGGATAAAATGAATTTAATCTAACTTTTAAAACAGCTTTCACGCTTAATTATCTTGTGAATTTATTTTCAATGGTTCCATGACATGATCCGTGTGTGTTTTTTAAAGGTGTCTATATACGATAATACTTTAATGGTCAGATCAAGTCTGAAATGTGACTTGCATCACAGCAGCTCCATGTGTAACATCAACAGACAGATATCAAGACACAATACATGGAACACAAACATTTAACATAACAGCACGATCAGTGAGAGAAAAGCTGCTCAAAGAGCCTTCAGCGTGCATCTGATCTGGATTCAGCTCTGTGTCTACTGAGAGGACAGACTGGAGCACAAAGGATGCTTCAGTCTGACTTTATTCAATCTCCATTAGATTGTAGCAGTTCATATTCTCTGTTAGAGCATGCATTAGGTCCCATGATGTTGTTGGACAGCCTCATGAGGTTATTATGATAGTCTGAAAGGGTTGACCAACAATCTTTGGCAAGGCACATTTCTTTATATAGCACCTTTCAACACAAGGCAATTCAAGGTGCTTTACAAAAATGAAAGACATTAAGAAAATGGCATTTAAAAACAGTCATTAAAAAGAAAAGATAATAAAAGTAACATTAAAAGAAAAAATACATGAATAAAAAGTACATGACTAAAAAGTTACAGTGCAGTTTAAGATATGAATAGTTCACACAGAAGTTCCACTTTACTAATGAACACAACGGCTCAGTTTCAAAAAACACTTTGAGCAGATTTTGGAGCAGTTTGGATTTTAAAGCTGTTGACAAACACTTGTACCAGGTAGTATTGCAGTACTGTAGAATAGACAAAATCACAGATGTAGTTAACAACAGAGTACAGAATAGAGCGGTGCAGGAGTGAGGCCTAAAACCAGGACATCAGATTTCTCTTTAGACCTAATTATCCTCTTGTGAATGTATTTTCAATGGTTCCATGACATTGAATGTTGAGTAGATTTCCAAAGTGTGTATAAAGGTGTTTATATAACCTGTATCTGTGCTCAGAACTACTCCATCAGTATAGAAAAGACGCAGTGCCCGGACTCAGAGTGTCTGTTCGCTTTCTACGGCGGAGAGACGGCGTACCACAAGTACCTGATTGGGCTGCAGTTCTACAACGTCTTCCTCTTCTTCTGGTGCGCTAACTTTGTGACGGCGCTGGGACAGATGACCCTCGCCGGAGCCTTCGCCTCGTACTACTGGGCCTTCAACAAGCCCGACGACGTGCCCGCCTTCCCCGTCTTCTCCTCCCTCGGGAGGTCGCTCAGGTGGGTTTGAATGTGCAGGAAGTTTCAGTAGAGAATGGGGTTCATTTGGTGCGGCCATCTTTGAAGGATAGCTTCTTTGGCAAAAGTAGGAGCAGATGATGCCTATCAGTTTTCACTGGTCTTCTGTCAGCTGTTTTTCATCCGAAATGTAATACGGTATGTGCAAAATAGAAATGTCCTTTGAGAGAGGAGAGTTCTTTTTGAACTAATGCTCAAAGAGAAGAATGTTGCCACCAGTAACGGTGCCTAACCTACCTGTCGGGAAATACAAAAATGTTTACATAACAGGTCACTTGTTAGACGCTTTTATATACTCAATACTGTGGGCAATCCCCACAGGAGCAATTTGGGGTGAAGTGTCTTGCCCAGGGACACAACGACATGCTGACTGCAGTGGGGTTTGAACCTGTGACCCCCTGATCCGAACGCACAACCCACTGCACCACACGCCTCCCTTTAATCTTTGGATGTGTAATTTACAAACTTGGGGACACAGGATCTTCAAATCTAGAGGCTCTTTAACAATATACAATCATCCGGACATAGAAAGCTAATGTTATGCTAACTGAATGCTAACAAAATGGGGGCTTTTTGTGAATAGTTAATCTACCGTTATATTCTTACTGTATATGACGACATTTCAAGATTTAAATCTCATTCCCTGTGTAGTTGTTTGCGTTTCTGTAGGTCAGCAATTATCTTACACTTACATTAAACAACCTGCAGATGGCGCTTTTACCCTCCATTAACTCCATGTTGGAAAAGTATAAAACCTAATCCTGTGGTCCTTCTTTGGTTTTCTTCGTTAGTAGTTGGATTAGCTGGTGTCCTTAAAAAATGGCCGACTTGCTGTTGCGTTTGCTTGAAAATCAATCGTTCATCTGCCTTCTGTCTACTTGTCTCTTTTTTTTGTAGTCATAGTGTGTTCTGTCCCAGTGTGTTAATTGTCCCCCCCCCCCCTTTGGTATATGAAAGGCTATATACATTTAAGTTATTATTATTGTCCGTTTTTTCAGGTATCACACAGGAACTCTGGCGTTCGGCTCCCTGATCCTCTCCATCGTTCAGATCATCAGAGTTCTGCTGGAGTATCTAGACCACAAGCTCAAAGGTCTGCTGCGGTTTAATTCACATTAAACCAATACATTTCAAGTGCAAAAAGAACAAAACACAATCTATAAATAATCTCTTTCTTTTTACTGTTAAATCTCTGACTAACCTTTAGACTTGAAGAAAAAGGTTATCCAATTACATCAGGACCTTAAATATTATGGCAAAATGACTACAAACTTTATGATTTCAAGACGTATAAAACGGAACAAGTTTACCCTTTGTTTAGCTTTGTCATCTTCTCTGTATATATGAGTATTTAATTAGTTGAAAAAAAACCTATTTAACAGAATATTGAACTTAGTTCTATTTGGAAATTGCATTTAATCGTAAATATACCTTCACTTACAGTATATTTTATTATGATTTTTCACAGGAGCTCATAATAAATGCACCAAGTTCCTGCTGTGCTGCCTGAAATGCTGCTTCTGGTGTTTGGAGAAATGTGTCAAGTTCATCAACAGAAATGCCTACATCATGGTGCGTGCTTTATTATTGCCTTTTCAATAAAGTAGAAACATCACTTATTCTATTTTATACCTACTTTATGCTAATGTTTATAAAGTATTTGAGTGTAATGAGTGTTTGTCCTGTAGACGGCGATCTACGGGAATAACTTCTGCACCTCCGCCAAAAACGCCTTCTTCCTCCTCATGAGGAACATGATCAGGTGAGGTGGATTTAATAAAGTTTAATTTATTTAGAATTTATTTGCAGAATATCATTTTATATTTCTTTAAATCCCCCAGGGTGGCTGTCCTGGACAAAGTGACAGACTTCCTTTTGTTTTTGGGGAAACTGCTCATTGTTGGGCTCGTGGGTGAGTCTTAATGTCAATTATTCATTCTCGAAATATTCGCCTGATGTTATTTTAGACTAGAGAAGGTTCATTAGAATGTTTCATTTATCCCGGGTCGTATTGCGTGTCATGACAGTTGCTCCATTTTAGACTGAATAGAATAACTTAAAGGGGACCTATCATGCATATGTTTACCCAAAGAAATACAATATTTGTTATGTATGTATCTTAATATACTTCACAGCCAATCAGTGTGCAGCAGAGAGCTTTGTGAAGTTTGATTGATTGTGTTTTTTATTCTCAGGGATCTTCGCCTTCTTCTTCTTCTCGGGGAGAGTGAAGGCCTTCGAGGACACCGCTCCACATCTGCACTACTACTGGGTTCCCATCCTGGTGAGTGTCTCCTCTCTACCTCTACCTCTGAAGCGCTGAGTTAGGATTTTTCTAAAAGCTATCAAAAACACAACGTTGTTTATAACCAGAGATGGCAAAAGTACACACATCCTTTAGTCAAGATACAGATACTCGTGTTTAAAAATACTCTGGTAGAAGTACTGACTAAACTTCTTTACTCAAGTAAAAGTAAAGAGGCTTTGAAATGTACTTCAGTAAAAAGTACCCATAACTAGCAGCTGTTTTAAAGAGTACCTGACCTCCCTTTATATGAATAGAACAATAATGTCATTGTTAGCTAATGAATGTTTCCATGCTGAACAACGGCACCATGACAACGTTTCCATTGGTCCCTCTTCTTTAGAGAAGACCAGGAAATGATGGATACACGGATCGTGTTCAAATCAATAGGCACGCAATGACTCTAAAGAATAATGATCACGCACCAAACACACATTCAGACTAAAGGAACCAGCCTGTTTGGAAAATGAGAGAAGTAGAAAGTACAGGTATTTGAGTTCAACATGTAAGAAGTAGAAAGTTCAGGTATTTGTGTTCAACATGTAAGAAGTAGAAAGTACAGGTATTTGTGTTCAACATGTAAGAAGTAGAAAGTACAGGTATTTGGGTTCAACATGTAAGAAGTAGAAAGTACAGGTATTTGGGTTCAACATGTAAGAAGTAGAAAGTACAGGTATTTGTGTTCAACATGTAAGAAGTAGAAAGTACAGGTATTTGGGTTCAACATGTAAGAAGTAGAAAGTACAGGTATTTGTGTGTTCAACATGTAAGAAGTAGAAAGTACAGGTATTTGGGTTCAACATGTAAGAAGTAGAAAGTACAGGTATTTGGGTTCAACATGTAAAAAGTACAGGTATTTGGGTTCAAAATGTAAGAAGTAGAAAGTACAGGTATTTGGGTTCAACATGTAAGAAGTAGAAAGTACAGGTATTTGGGTTCAACATGTAAGAAGTAGAAAGTACAGGTATTTGGGTTCAACATGTAAAAAGTACAGGTATTTGGGTTCAAAATGTAAGAAGTAGAAAGTACAGGTATTTGGGTTCAACATGTAAGAAGTAGAAAGTACAGGTATTTGGGTTCAACATGTAAGAAGTAAAAAGTACAGGTATTTGGGTTCAAAATGTAAGAAGTAAAAGTAGAAAGTCGTCAGAAAAATAAGTACAGTACTGATACCAGAAAAATGTACTTAAGTACAGTAACAAAGTATTTGTACGCCTTTTTTTTTTGGTCCTGATCTCTGATGGTTCTTTATACATTTCTTCTTCTCCTCTCCAGACTGTGGCGGTCGGATCCTACCTCATCGCCCACGGATTCTTCAGTGTTTACGCCATGTGTGTCGACACTCTGTTCCTCTGCTTCTGTAAGTCCTTGCTCATTATCACCTCCTTTGTATTATTACTTCTTAAAGGTCCCATGTCATGGCCATTTCTGCTGATCATAAGTCCATTGTTGAGGTCTACTAGAATACATTTACATTATTCAATTTTCCAAACTCACATTGGTTTCTCATACAGCATCTCTGTATAGTATGTGTATTCACTCTCTGTCCTACACGCCTTGTTGGAGCTCCTGCCCCCCCCCCCCCCCTCCCTGGGAGCCCACTGTGCTCTGATTGGTCAGCTCGCCCACTCTGTTCTGATGAGTCCACCACCGTTACAGCGGAACATCAGTGATTATGTGTTACCATGGCGTTTGTTAGCAACCAGGAAATGACACCAGTAATGACAAATAGATGAGAATGCTGCGTGGGGTCTGGGTGCCGTGTTGGCGGGACGTTGCGGGTCTCGCTGCTGGAGTGGACAGTGTGAGCTGGATTACTGGTGTCGTTTCCTGGTTGCTGCGTGGGGTCTGCGAGACTCCGCAAAACTCACCTTAACTCAGCCTGAGCACACACACACTCACAGCCAGGCTGAGTTTCACGGTGTCTCGCTGTCTCAGGCTGAGAAATTCGTGGAGCTGAGAAAATATAAGGTTTGTGAGGAGCTTCATGGATTGGTCCATTTGGACCTGGGCATGGTCACGTCACCATACTCAGGAAGAAAAAAATGGAAAAAGAGAAATCTCCAACGAGGCGTTCTGGGGCAGCATAGATAGGTATTTTCTGTGTTAGAGTTTTACTCTCTACAGGGTGTACTTTGAGGGTTTGTGACTCTGCAGACCGTTTACATGCAGAAAAACCTTCATAACACACAAGGGGACGGGTAATAACCAGAAAAGCATGACATGGGACCTTTTTAAATGCAGATGTGTTGCATTGAAGAAAGGCTTTTAAGAGACAAAAAACACGAAGATAAATTAACGATCGGCTGAACCCAGACTTTCCTCACTTCTTCAACATTGCTTTTGGTGGCTGTCACTAATTCTAAACTGCATGAATATACAGTGGTGCAGGGATGTTGTCCTTTTGTAGCCTACCCGAAGTAAGCAAGGCAAGGACTGCTTTGAGGGAAAAGCCAATGGGATTATTCCATTGGATTATTGCAGATAATTGGCAAACACACGTTTATGATTCTTACACGTCTTGTTCAGCAGGATAATCTCCACATATTAACAACAATTTACCACCACGTTAGACAATAAAGGAACTACAGCACGGTCACATGAATTCACGTCACCACCGCTAAGCTAAAGGTGGCTAATGTTAGGCTATAAAGGAACTACAGCACGGTCACATGACTTCATGTCACCACCACTAAGCTAAAGGCGGCTAATGTTGGGCTATAAAGGAACTACAGCACGGTCACATGACTTCACGTCCCCACCGCTAAGCTAAAGGCGGCTAATGTTAGGCTATAAAGGAACTACTGCACGGTCACATGACTTCAGGTCACCACCGCTAAGCTAAAGGCGGCTAATGTTGGGCTATAAAGGAACTACAGCACGGTCACGACTTCATGTCACCACCGCTAAGCTAAAGTTGGCTAATGTTAGGCTATAAAGGAACTATAGCACGGTCACGACTTCATGTCACCACCGCTAAGCTAAAGGTGGCTAATGTTAGGCTATTAAGGAACTATAGCACGGTCACATGACTTCAGGTCACCACCGCTAAGCTAAAGGCGGCTAATGTTGGCCGTGATGACGTTTAGTCGTCTTATTTAGACACTTGTTAGCAACCGCCATTTTTATGACACATATAAGGTTCAGATATTCCCCAGTGTGGTATTCGCTGACGTGTTTTATGTCGTAGTAATAATAATGTTTACTTCGAGACGAGGGAAGTGGAAGTGCTAAAATGCCAACTAATTTCCGGGTTTTAGGACTCATTCCTGCACCACTCTACAGTGAGCCACCCTACCATTTCTAAATAACAGTCTGAGGCTCGCAGGATGTCAATCTGCTGCTTGGTGTTTCTCTATAAATGCCTGTGGGTGCTTTGCTTGCTATTTGACTTTCTTTCTCTTTTTGTCTCCTTTTTCTTTCTCATTTTCTCACAATTCACCACCTTCCTTCCACTCCCTACCTTCCCATAACACCTTTTTTAACCCTGATTTCATTACTTATTTCCTATTCCATCCATTAACACGTACAAATACACAAACACACAACAAGGTGAAGACCTGGAGCGCAATGACGGTTCAGCCGAAAGGCCTTATTACATGTCCTCGGTGCTTCGTGAGATTCTGTTGAAGGACAAAGCCGGGGATCCGTCTTCTGCCCGGCAACAAGACGATGAAGACGACGATAAAGACGTTGTGTTGAAACAGCCGCAGCTTCAAGAGGAAGATGAAGTTTAGAGAAGAGGAGTTTTGAGAGCGAAGACGCTGAATTACAGGCATAATGGAACCTTTTAGTTATAGTTGAAGACTTCTGAAAATAAGGGTCTGGAACTTTTTGGAAGTTCTCCTTTTTGTTAACCTTTTTTATTAAAGGTTCCCCGCACTGCCACTGGCCAACAGAGGTGGGAGAAGTACTTGGATCTTTTACTTGAGTAAAAGTAGAAGTACTCAGGTCTTGTACTTGAGTAAAAGTAGAAGTACTCAGATCTTGTACTTGAGTTAAAGTAGAAGTACTCAGGTCTTGTACTTGAGTAAAAGTAGAAGTACTCAGGTCTTGTACTTGAGTAAAAGTAGAAGTACTCAGATCTTGTACTTGAGTAAAAGTAGAAGTACTCAGATCTTGTACTTGAGTAAAAGTAGAAGTACTCGGAGATCTAGTACTTGAGTAAAAGTAGAAGTACTCAGGTCTTGTACTTGAGTAAAAGTAGAAGTACTCAGATCTTGTACTTGAGTTAAAGTAGAAGTACTCAGATCTTGTACTTGAGTAAAAGTAGAAGTACTCAGATCTTGTACTTGAGTAAAAGTAGAAGTACTCAGATCTTGTACTTGAGTAAAAGTAGAAGTACTCGGAGATCTAGTACTTGAGTAAAAGTAGAAGTACTCAGGTCTTGTACTTGAGTAAAAGTAGAAGTACTCAGATCTTGTACTTGAGTAAAAGTAGAAGTACTCGGGTGAATCGGAGAATAGTCTCCTGGTGACATTTTTAAATAAATCTGGGTGTCATCTGCATAGATATGATGATTTATGGTCGTTGTTTTTCACAATTTGAGCCAGTCTTCAATGTAGTGGCCTAGAAGTACAAAGTAGCAGAACATATAAATACTTGTGAAGTACAAGTACCTCAAAAATGAGTACAATGCATTACTTGAGTAAATGTACTTAGTTACTTCCCACCTCTGCTGGCCAATAGAAACTTGAAACCATTTTGTGCCTGATTTACAGAGTTAGTGTTGGTCTGTTTGCACTTTTATTAAAGATGTATGCACCATCAACGCACTTTTCATCTGTTCACCATAGACTGTATATATAAAGGTTTACACCAAGCCAGGTTTTAATCTCATTAAAGTGATTCTCTTTAGGCTACCTGCTGTTACTTTGGGAATGTAGTTCTGCATCTATTCTTCAATTCTATTGGTTTATTAAACGGGGACAGTTCACATTATTAAACCTTGCTGGGTTGCAGAGTTAGCCAAGAGGTACATTTTTTTTTTTTTGATCTGTGGCCCTTCGACAGATGCTGTAAAATGTTGTAGCCTTCAGTAGGTGTGTGCTTGGCTGCGAAGTTGCTTAAATAAACAATATTTCAGGATAAAAGTCTAAAAATAAGTAATTTAAACTCGTAAAATTGATGCATGTTGTTGTTTATGGTCTGCGGTAATTGCTCCAAGCTTTCCCCGCTGTTAAATGAACTTTGTCCTTCATATTTAATAGTGAAATTGGGCTGTACAATTAATGAAAATGTTATTAAAGGTGTGATATTTGGTAAAGGTAAAATATAAAAAAAACATTTGAATAAAATATTATATTGCTGCAAAGATGTCCCGGTGTCTTACAGACTTAATAATGTTTATTTATTTATATAAAAATGACCATTCTCTCATATATTGCAAATCAAATTGTGAATGTATATCATTTAAAAAGATGTTACACAAATATTGCAGCTGTAATCTTAATAAATGAAGCCTGATCCTGGTTTTTTAAGCACTTCTCTCTCCAATAATCTGACTTTAATCCTGTTTTATTGAATGTTTTCCAGTGGAGGATCTGGAGAGGAACGATGGCAGCGCAGAGAGGCCCTACTTGATGCCGGAGAACCTCCGAAAAGTCCTGAACAAGAAGAACAAGACGGAACCGGCTGAATAACGGAAAGATCTGCAGTGATGTTGGACTTTAGGAAAAACATTCTCGGACCAGAACCAGATACCTTCAATCACCAGGAGCCTCCATCGGAAGTGTTATCCACTTTAATTAATCTACAGTTTATAGTTTTAAAGACGCCGCCTTATTTGTTATATATTTTAATATTTGTGCTACATGAAGGTCAGCTTTAAAGTTGTTTAATATGTCTCTGCGCTTTTTATCTTGCTGTTATCTTATGTTATGTTTGAAGCTTTATTTAACCTTGTTACCAAAGCCGTTCCACTACGACTCGTTTTTATCTGCACAAAGAATCAATCTGTCAGCGAGTGTGTAACGGAGAAACTTAAGAACAAAAGCTAAATTTGTATTGTATAGGGTTATACTCTGGTACTCATTTCATTATTGTGGAGTTAACCTGAGAACGTTTTTGAAATAAAAATAGTTTTTTACGTAATTGCACAATGTCTTTACTTTTAACCAACTGTTTTTGCTTATGTATTATAATAATTGTTACGTTATCTTTTAACAACAGCAGAGAGCTTGCCAACTCCAAACGATTGTGTTATAAGGATAAGGATCCGCTTGATGACTTAGTTTTATACACCAAATAAAGTATTTGTTGGAAAAAACGAATCACAAATATCCGATCTGATGTTCATTTATAGGTGTCATGTTGCTGGGGACGCAGGTGACATGTTCTTACCACTTTTTAAAAGTATAATTGGTTAAAAATGTTCAGATTTCTTCAATCCTTGGGACCCAAGTGATTTGGACATTTGACACATGTAATTTAAGTTAAAGGGGCCCCATCATCCTCATTTTCAGGTGTATATCAGTGTCTCTAGTTTAAAGAGTCCTCTCCTGCTGATGTTCAGGTGTATATCAGTATGTAGTGTCTCTACTTTAAAGAGTCCTCTCCTGCTGATGTTCAGGTGTATATCAGTATGTAGTGTCTCTACTTTAAAGAGTCCTCTCCTGCTGGTGTTCAGGTGTATATCAGTATGTAGTGTCTCTACTTTAAAGAGTCCTCTCCTGCTGATGTTCAGGTGTATATCAGTATGTAGTGTCTCTACTTTAAAGAGTCCTCTCCTGCTGATGTTCAGGTGTATATCAGTATGTAGTGTCTCTACTTTAAAGAGTCCTCTCCTGCTGATGTTCAGGTGTATGTAGTGTCTCTACTTTAAAGAGTCCTCTCCTGCTGATGTTCAGGTGTATATCAGTATGTAGTGTCTCTACTGGGACATGTCTCCAAGCTTTAATGTTCAAAAAGCTCTTTATTTGTCTCATACTGTCTGTGCTGCAGCACCTCTTTTCACCCTCTGTCTGAAACCAGAGCCCAGTCTGCTCTGATTGGTTAGCTGGCCAGCTCTGTTGTGATTGGTCAACCGCTTAGAGATATCCCGCCCCTTAGCCTATCACGTACAATGTGTTGGAGCGCTAGCCAATAGAAGTGTTACGGAAGATAATAAAGTAGTCCAATAGAGGAATACCATTTACATGCACAAAACTGCATCATATCAGTGTTTTTAATAAATAAATGTAGCACAGGAAAAAGTACAACATTATCCTCTAAAATGTAGTTGAGTATAAGTAACTTATAAGTATAAGTACATTCTCAAATAAAGAACATCTTCCTTGACATGACACACTCAATAACAGCCTTGAACTGCCCTCTGCTGTTCTGTTGCTGTCCATCAGGTGGAGTGTGTGTGTGTTGTCTCTGCAGTGTGTGTTCAGTGTGTCCTCAGGTCAGTAAGCAGCTCTTATCTCCGCTGACGGCTGCAGGTGATCCTGATCAGATCACAATCACAGGGACATCTCTCGTGTTGATGCGAGCTCTCTGCTGTCACGTTAACGAGTCAGGTGTACCCAGCACACAGAATAACTCCAAATCTCTCATCAGTTCAATTGTGGCTCCATTTCTTCTGTAATGTCAGTGGTAGAAGAATAGTCAGATATTTTTGCATATTAGTACAATTAGCAATATTCAACTTTTAAATGAATCTGTTGCAAGTAAAAGTCCTGCAGAGTACTAAAGTATTGGACTCAAAATATACTTAAATCAACCTGAAGATCAAGTGGTTATTTGTTTTCTTTGTTGTCATTAACCCCCTTTCTTGTCTTTTTGGTTTTCGTTGTAGTCGGTTTGTTAATTTGAGTCTCTGTAATAACTTCTATGCCACTTTGTAGTCGTTATGTGTGCAGCTGTTTTGCACAATTTGTAGTTGCTTTGGTTTCTTTGTATGTTTTCAGTTTCGCTGTTGTCTTTCTGAGTCTCCTTCTGTAGTATGTGTCTCTTTGAGTGTCTGAGCATGTGTCAGTAATCTGTAATCCATCCATGCATACCCGTCTGATCAAGATAAGCCACTAGAACATTTTGGACCTCTATAATTAACGCACCAGCAGAGGTGGGAAGTAGTGGAGTACAAATACTTCGTTACTGTACTTAAGTACATGTTTCTGGTATCAGTACTTTACTCCACTACTTATTTTTGTGACAACTTTGACTTCTTACTTTTTGAACACAAATACCTGTACTTTCTACTTCTCACATGTTGAACACAAATACCTGTTCTTTCTACTTCTTACTTTTTGAACACAAATACCTGTACTTTCTACTTCTTACATGTTGAACACTAATACCTGTACTTTCTACTTCTTACATGTTGAACACAAGTACCTGTACTTTCTACTTCTCACATTTTCCAAACAGGCTGGTTCCTTTAGTCTGAATGTGTGTTTGGTGGCGTGATCATTATTATTTAGAGTCATTGCGTGCCTATTGATTTGAACACGATCCGTGTATCCATCATTTGCCTTAAAGCAACAACATGAAATTATGCTTCAGTTATTGTTAACTGCGTTGTTGATGACCCTTATGTCACCAAGAAGCAAGACATTTGCTGACTTGCTCAGTCAGTGACATTGAATTGCACTCGATGAGGGTTCAATGTCCTCATTAAAAGGACGATTATGTAGAAAACAACATAAAAGTGACACAGAGAGGGACAGAAATGTGGCCTTTGAGACGTCTCTAACCCTACCTGTTAACGGCAGCCCAGGTCTTTCTCAGCCTGTAAACTGCATTAGACTGAAGGGCCGACAGGATGGCCTTGAGAGAGGAGAAGTTCTTCAACCGACGACAATCCTGCAGAGCAAACAACGAGCATTCAGTGGGTTCACCTCATTTAAAATCGAATTGTATTGTTAACCATTCTTTGTGTTGGCATATGGTGATAAAGGACCAGAGGTGGGAAGTAGTGGAGTACAAATACTTCGTTACTGTACTTAAGTAAATTGTTCTGGTATCAGTACTTTACTCCACTACTTATTTTGTTTTACTTTTTACCTTTTTAAACACAAATACCTGTACTTTCTACTTCTTACATGTTGAACACAAATACCTGTACTTTCTACTTCTTACATGTTGAACACAAATACCTGTACTTTCTACTTCTTACATGTTGAACCCAAATACTTGTACTTTCTACTTCTTACATGTTGAACTCAAATACCTGTACTTTCTACTTCTTACATGTTGAACCCAAATACTTGTACTTTCTACTTCTTACATGTTGAACCCAAATACTTGTACTTTCTACTTCTTACATGTTGAACTCAAATACTTGTACTGTCAACTTCTTACATGTTGAACACAAGTACTTGTACTTTCTACTTCTTACATGTTGAACTCAAATACCTGTACTTTCTACTTCTTACATGTTGAACCCAAATACTTGTACTGTCAACTTCTTACATGTTGAACACAAGTACTTGTACTTTCTACTTCTTACATGTTGAACTCAAATACTTGTACTTTCTACTTCTTACATGTTGAACCCAAATACTTGTACTTTCTACTTCTTACATGTTGAACTCAAATACCTGTACTTTCTACTTCTTACATGTTGAACTCAAATACCTGTACTTTCTACTTCTTACATGTTGAACCCAAATACCTGTACTTTCTACTTCTTACATGTTGAACTCAAATACCTGTACTTTCTACTTCTAACATGTTGAACACAAATACCTGTACTTTCTACTTCTCTCATTTTCCAAACAGCTGGTTCCTTTAGTCTGAATGTGTGTTTGATGCGTGATCATTATTATTTAGAGTCATTGCGTGCCTATTGATTTGAACACGATCCGTGTATCCATCATTTCCTGGTCTTCTCTAAAGAAGAGGGACCAATGGAAACGTTGTCATGTTGCCGTTGTTCAGCATGGAAACATTCATTAGCTAACAATGACATTATTGTTCTATTAATATAAAGGGAGGTCAGGTACTCTTTGAAACAGCTGCTAGTTATGGGTACTTTTTACTGAAGTACATTTCAAAGCCTCTTTACTTTTACTTTAGTAAAGAAGTTTAGTCAGTACTTCTACTTTCACCAGAGTATTTTTGAACACGAGTATCTGTACTTCTACTTGAGTAAAGGATGTGTGTACTTTTGCCCTCTCTGGGTCCTAGTCGATCCTACCTTTGGTGAACACAATTCAGGGTACACAAATATGTTTTTCATCACATTACTCCACACCTTTCCAAAGCTTCTGTTCTTTCAGCAAAGACAGTTTTGCACAACTCCCCGCCACAGGAAATCATTTAAATGACACAACTCAGCTCATTAGCATCATCAGTGTCCCCGAGGCGGCGTGACTTCACTTCATTTTGTTTGCAGTCGAGTTGATTACACACTAGATGCTGTTTTCTTAGCAGTTCTGCGTCAGAGGCCATGAAGGGCTTTCTCTCTCTGCAGTCTCCATGGAGAGCACCTGAGTGGCTGAGTCACTGGGAGGGCTGCAGCTCTTCAGAGTTCCCGGTATGCACTTGAAATGTGGCCCTGACAACCCTGAAAAATGTCAAACAGCCATTGGGTAATACCTCAGTGTGTTTCCATTTCAAGCATGTGTATGTCACACAAAGCCAAAGATGGTAATGAAGGTAATGAGATCATGTTGTACCACTTTTCTTTTGACTGGAGAGTTTTGTATTTGGTAAACATACTGCATTTATATGATAGATAGATAGATAGATAGATAGATAGATAGATAGATAGATAGATAGATAAATGGATAGATATATAGATGGATGGATGGATGGATAGATAGATAGATAGATAGATGGATAGTTGGGAAATGTTTCCGTCACAGAAGCAGAGTGTTTTCAGACTTACACTTAAGTACATTAGCTTACAATAAGCCAAACTTTTGCAAGTGCTGCGTACATTATATACGATATGATACGATAATACTTGAATGGTCAGATCAAGTCTGAAATGCTCCTTGCATCACAGCAGCTCCATGTGTAACATCAACAGACACATATCAAGACACAATACATGAAAAACAAACGACAAACATTGAACATAACAGCACCATCAGTGAGAGAAAACATGCTCAAAGAGCCTTCAGCGTGCATTTGATCTGGATTCAGCTCTGTGTTTACTGAGA